ATATATATATATATATATATATATATATTAATATTAGCGGTGGCGGTAGGAATATATAATCATCGCATAATATCGCGACATTTTTGGTGGCGTCGAAGACGCGATGTCCGGCGTGATCCTCGGGCGTCAATAGGTTAGCAGCGTAGATGACGACGGTGCGCGAGTGCGGATCAGTTTGTTGACGATGTTATTTTGACAATGGGAAGAAGACTACGGTATAGCGGCGGGACGACGTCGGCCGTGCGGCACTTGCTGGGCTTTGCACCGCGTCGTAAAACGACGCGGGGCTGTGTCAATTACAATAAAAATTTGTTATATATATATAATTGATGATAAGCGCGCGTCTACGGGTTGGAAAATATTGTTCTCTACGAGTGGTAAGCGGGGTGGGGCGAATGCGTTACAACAGTATAGTCTCAAGGTCATACACGACGGGATACGCGACAAAATAACACGTGCCGCGTGAAGTTACAAACTTACAAACGACAAACAAACAACAAACAACAAACAACAAACATACACGTGAAACTAATATAAGCGTGTTAAAAAGTAATCCGATACGCGAAGCGTCCATCTGTTTAATATGCTCTCACAACGTTTCAATGGTTACACTGTCCATTGTGTTTGGTGTACGGTCACTTTTGATGTATTCAGGTCACTCGTTAAATACGTGGTAAATATTTCGTGCGATTGACGTCCACCGCGGATGAATACTACATTAATATTGCAGTCTCAATTGTCTCCTTTGCTATAGATATGTGTTCAAAAATCAGATTTATTTTACTATACCTAACACATTAATTTAAAAATCAACAAGCGACGGATATTTGTACTGTACAAATAGTACGCATTAATAAAAAACGTATATTGTATTTCAATATTCAGTTTTCTGTAAATTCAAAAATGAAAAGGGTGTCCGTTAAGTTTATTACACCAATAGAAAAATATTAAAAGTTTATGTCTACATTTTGTTACTACATAGTGACGTAAATCATTAAAAGTCATAGATATTTTATGTTATAGTGGTTTATGAATTTTGTGTATTATATATTTATTTATTTTTAAATATTCATATTTTTTACTTTATAAGTTTTAATGCTGAATAAATTTTATTATAATTTAAACGTGTATTGGATGTGTTAGTTTAACGTTAATCTGCATAATATTATCATAGATTAAATACATTAAATGTGTATTTAATCTATGATATTATGCATAGTACACAATACGGTTTTGGTATATTATATGTATTTGAAGCGGCCTCTAGTGATCTTAGTAGTAAACTCATTTTTCTATATTATCTATGGTATAATTTCTGTATGTAATTGTAAAATAATTGGATTAATATTTTCACTGTATTTTTAGCGCTTTTATAAATGGAAAGCAGTAACGTATGTTCGTTAATCGAGTTATTACGGCATTTTTAAATTGATAAGAAATTGTTCCCTTGACGAACGTAATGATGTAAGTCTGGAAATATTACTCCATATCGTACTATGTTATCATTATGATTCTGTTTTAATATGTCTTATGATAAAAAGTTCGTTCAATGAAAACCAAGTATTTAATGTACATTTCTCTACACTTATTATATCTATAGTTTTTTGATTTCAAATTATTAAATTCATTGTTGATTTATTGATAATACATATCTCTATCTATATTTGAACCTACTTTCACATAGCAAGACTACAATTATTCACTTTCAAAGATGAACTATTCAGGCGTCGCGGCGCTATTGGTGTTGTGCGGCTGCCTGACTGCTACTTTCGCTTCTTCATTTGATGAACACCTAGATTCTGATTTACAGCTTGACATTACTACAACCAACAAGCCAAGACATGAATTACGTGTGCTCTATTGGTTAGTATTAATTATCTATGGAGAAATAATTTATGGACAAAAACAAAATTATCAACATTCAGTTTTATATAAAATCCATTCAAATAAATGTTTTAAATTTAACCGACAAATTACTTACCCATCAAAAATTAAAATATTCGTGTTGTATTTCATACATTATCAACAATTTTTTTTAAGTAGTTTAAACCAGAGGTTCTCAAAGTCAAATGAATCACGGACCCCCATCTAAAGACCTACAGTTTTAAAGACCTAACCCTGATATGTGCTCGCGGACCACACTTTGAGAAACTCTGGTTTAAACTACTTATATATTAAGTAGGGGCAGATATAGTGGAGTACTAGAGTGCTGCAGTATGCCTAGGGGCACATTGATAATATCATGAAATAATATCACTCTGAATAAAATGAATTAATAATAAATGTTAGTTAAGAAAACGAGTTTATATTTAAAAATTTAATGATGTTATTTTCAGTCATTCATGTGGTTATAGAGCTGCATATGAACAATATTCTCGCATACTTGAAGAAAAATACTCAGGATCCCTTCGTATAATTGGTGACAAACATGATCCATCCTTGTTACGTTTGTGGTTTGCTCGATTTCTGGTTAGTCTATTCATATATTGACAATTATTACAAGTACTTGTTTATACAGAGTATTTTTGAAAACAGGGTATTGCTAAAATGCTTTTGGTGATTATTATTGGTAGCGGTGGTCAAGGTTGGGATGCTATTGTTTCATGTATATCAAGGTTGTTAGGTCCAGCTAAAAAAAAAAAAAGACGTAATAGTGATGCAAATGATACAAATGACAATGATAATGAAGATATTGAAGAAGAAACAATAAATACAGAGCAACAGCCTGCAGCTACTACTGGAGGTTGGCGTCGGTGGTGTGCTGATAATAAATGGACAGCATGTGTAGCAGTTTATGCTGCATGCAGTGCTGTTGAAGCAGCAGCTGTAGCAACAGGAGCATTTGAAATTTATTTAGATGGTAATTAAAATGAATTATCTAACAGTTTTTAATTATAAGTAATAATTTTCATCTATTTTACTAGATGTGCCAGTATGGTCAAAAATAGAAGCTGGCCGTGCTCCTCAGCCAGCTGAGCTATTCCAAATTATTGATAGTCATTTAGCAATGATGACTGGAACAACAACCACAACTTCATGAGCATAATAAGGAGAATGAATTATCACAAGATTTTTTTGTGTCAATATACATACATTTGAATTTAAAACCATCCTTCTATGATCTTTTTTTTTAATATTTGTGTGTATTCATTTTTTAAATTATTAGTTATAAAATATGTAATTGATTTCTAATCTGATGTATATCAATAACAAAGTTATTAAGAAGTTGATTAAGTTATTAAGAAAAGTTCTGCCATGGTTGTATTAAGTTCATTGGTTCAATACAACCTTCTATTAAACAACTATAAATTGTGATTATTATGTAATTAAGGTTAAAAAACTTACATGTGTTTTCTTTGTACTCTTGTATCATTACGATAACAAGATTCTTATAAAAATTACACATATGTATTTATAAAATAATTTATCTACTCAAATAAAAAATTTAGCAGAGTAGTAATGTGGCATAGTTGTAACAAGTATAGATAATACCTGACAGGGGTTTTAAACACTATCATAAAAAATGATTCTATGCAAATCTGTAGATAGTGTTTAATTTTAAGAAGAAATTGTTAGATTATTCCAAAAGCAACATCAACTCCTATTTCCTTAATTATATAATGATTACAAGTTATATGATTTATAAGTATCAAGTTTATAAATCATGAACAAATACTTATTATAGTAATAAAATTTGTATTAAATAATTTAATGTTGTAATTTTTAAAAGTTAAAAATAAAAAATTATATAGACCTATAAAAATGCTGCATACTGGTCGATTTTTTTAATATTATTCACTCAATTTCTTTTAAAATAAAAATAATGTTATTTTATATATTTCTTGATTTAATAATTTTCAAGTTTTTTTAAAATTCATCTCTTATACTTTGTAAGGGTGTCAAAATACATTTTTAACCAGGTAATAATAAGAAATAAATACTATAATTAAGAAAATGATTGGTTAATAACAACTTAATGCTATTCTTTTTCTGATGTCTGGTGTTGATAGGTTATTGGAAGCTATGACACTTCCAAGATAAAAGAATTCTCGGACCTGATGTAATCGTATATTGTTTATTTGTATATTAAGATTTAAATCTGAGTGCATTTTACTTATAAGCATTGTTTTGGTTTTCATGGAATTTATTTTCATTTTAATTTTATTAAGTGCACTTGATAGAATTTTTAGCATATTATTCATTTTATGTTCAGACTCTGCTAAAGTAAACAATGTCATCCGCAAAGCGAATACAGTGTATATGTTGACCATTTTTTTTTACTCCATCGATCTTGGTTTTCATTATATCTATACTCAATTCAAAGAAAAGATTGAATATATCGGGGCACAAGGGGAATCCTTGTCTCACTACTCTACTTATTCTTGCTTCTTTTACCGAACCATTTACATTTATTTCTGGTGTTTGATCTTTATAGAAGTTGAAGATGAGCCGTCTATCCATTCAATTCCTTTTTCTCTTAATATCTCGAATAACATTTCCCAATCCACTTTATTGATAGCCATTTCTAGATCTATGAATGTTGATAAAGTATTTCTATTCAGTGTAATTCTTCTCTCAAGGATCTGTCTTAGCGTTAATATTGCTTCTCTTGTTATCTTTTTTTAATTAAATAATTTTTCATTTTATAAGCTAGTTAAATATGTATATTACTATTTAAAAACATAAAGTTGACATATACACACACACGCACATATATATATATATATATATGTGTGTGTGTTTTTTTTTAATGATAGATCTGAAATATATGGAACTAAAAACACCAAAAACGATTTTCTTAATATAATTTTCATTCTAAGAGAAATTGAGTAGCCTAAAGGTAGCTATTAAAAGAATCACCAGTAGTATTTCTTTACCTCAATTTATCATAAGCCATTGTTAGCTAGATAATTTTTTTGGAAAGGACAATTCCCTTTTATTTAACATACAAATTGGATTAACAAAAAGTTGCAAATATTGTCCCTACAAATATATATAACTAACACCTAAATTATTATTATTATTTTTATGTAAAAAGAGGTTAAATGGGGTAATTACCCTTCCCTCTTAGAAGACTATAATGTTTGACCTAAAATATAGAAGAATAATAAATTTTTACACCAAAATAATATTTTTTGTTTAAGATTGGAAACCAATTTCATATAGAAGATAGAGTGTTAACATTTTTTTTTTAATTATAGTACGTATAATAAGCCATAATTGAACATTTTGAAACTTGGAGTATTACCAGAACATTTTCGAAACTTAAGTTGGAAAAAATAACTTAAATGAAAAGTAGCGATTTTAAATCCTTCCAATGACCTGCCCAAAGGGTCAGATTTTTAATTAATATATACCAAAAGAAAAGGAATTATCTATGGTATTTAAAAAAAAGAGTTGTTTTGATTACTCATTTTTAAAATGTTATGACAATTTTAAGTAAAAAAAAAAATATATTTATATATACATTCAAATTTTTCGATTTTAAAAATCATAAGTTTTTAGCGATTTCCACCATTTACAGTTAAGGGAATTTTTTTTAATTATTGAGGGTAATGTCACTAATGTAACTAGATACAATTCTTTTGATGTATCGTTAAAAGAAATCGGTCTGATCAGAGTAGAGAATAAGTGACTTCAGATTAAAATAAAAAAAGTAAATTTTACTCAGTAAAATTAATACAATCTCAGCTTCGCATCGTAGTTAAAAAAAAAAATAAAGAATTTTAAATTTATTACATTACGACAAACTTATTTTAAAATATTATTTTCTTAAACTTATTTTTAATGAAAGGCTTAAATGAAATCGTTGGATAAAATTTATGAATTCATATTTTTTTTCATTCCTATAGTATTATATATGGACTAGATTAAGAAATATTCAGACTAAACCTAACATATGGATAAAAAAGAGTTTCAAAAGAATTTTTCAATATTTCATTAGTGATCTTTTTCGATAATGTAGACAAAAGACAAAACTTTCAACTTGACATGGGCCTTAATTCATAATTTTTTTAATAACTGTTACCATAGGCATAGAATAAAAAACTATTAAAAATTATTTGTTATTAAAAATAACAAAAATATTTTTTTGGAAGAGGATGAATTATACTAAATCCTCACATAAATTAACCACCCTTAACCTAATTATTTGATGCGTACATGAGCATGAGCGTACTAGTTATGATAATAAAGAGATAATGCCCCTAGGCTTACTTAGAAAAAAAAAAAAGTCTAATTTGAATTCATTATACAGCGGAGTTATTTAATTTTTTTCCTAGAGCAAGAGAACTTTTTTACGTCCCACTTAGAATCAATATTTTTCTTTAATGATTTTTTTTTCAAATTGTCATAATTTGAAGAAAAATACCTAATTTTTGTGAGTCACGTATAAGTTTTTTTTAGTAAACAGTGCCAGTATAATTATTTTACTCTTTGGACCATTATCCTCACAGTCGATCCTTGTAAATAAGTTAAAAAACCATTTTTTATAATTTTGGGAAAATAATTTTTATATTCTATTGTAAAAGATCGCGCTACGATCAACAAGTAATAACTGATAATTATCATATTTCATACACCGGTGGTATAATTCATATGGATTGTATTTAAATTTTTGTTGTGTAACAATGTGTAAATGCAATAAATTTCTATTATTACATATTGGGTACAGCTAGCTAGTCACAGCATTTATAATTAAATATTTGTATAAAATTACTTACTATGATATATTTTAACCGCACTGCAGTAATTGCAATTATTATTGCTGCTACTGCATTTTCTTTAAAATGTTGGCGTCATCGACGACGTCCTATTAAGGACCTTCGCATACCATTAATTGTAATAACAGGATGCGACACAGGTCTAGGATATTCTACAGTTGTAAGGTACACAAACAAAAACATTTCTAGAAAAATAGCTATTATTGCTTTATGTTTAAATGAAAAACAAGCAAAACACCTTACAGATCTATTCAATAATATTAATTTAGAAGCTTGGTCCTTTGATTTACGTGATTCTAAATCTATTAAACAAACTGTTACAAGAATAAAATCATTGATTGTTTCTAAAAACTATAGTAAGTTACATTTATAAGTTTAAAATAATAATTATTTATTATTCTATGACTCAATTACTTAGAATTGCATGCTGTTGTCAATAATGCTGCGCGAATGGTAATGGCCGAGTATGAATGGCAAACTATTAATTTGATTCAAGAACAATTTCAAGTTAATGTTCTCGGCCCAATGGAATTCACTTCTGGATTGCTTTCAACATTACGTCATGATCAGGGTTAGTATAAGATTATTATTTTGGGTTTTTTATTAAAATTATTTCTTTCTGTTGAATTTCCATTTCAACCTTAGTTTCATTATCCAGATATGATATTTAACTTGCATTATTTAATATTTTTTTATCACTGTGTTACATGCTGGGGCAAAACTAGTTTTTTAAAAAAAGGTGTGCAAAAACCTTTTTTATGCATAAAAATTTACTTTTTACAAATATCATAATTCAAAAAGCATGAATATGATAGCAAATATAATATATTTATAGAGTTTTAAATTTTAACCATAGGTCGAGTAATTAATGTTGTTAGTCATTGTGCTTTAATGCCATTACCTGGCATAGCAATTTATGGAGCAACAAAAGCAGCCATTTGTGCATGGACGATTGGTGCCAGAGCTGAACTTTCTCCTGAACATGGTGTAAAAATGATAATGTTTTACCCTGGTAAGAATTAATCTACAGGTGTTTATTAAGTTAACAATTTTCATAAATTACCGTTTTTTATTATTTATTAAACATTGTATATATCATAAGTATAACATACTTATGTTATACAACATAAATTATATATATTAATATGGTTTGTAATTTTTAGGATCATTCTATATGAATTCGTCTATTATGGGTAGTAAAAAACAACGTGAAGATTATTATGATGAAATTTTAGATGGATTTTCAGCTGAAACATTATCATACTATGGTAAACATGTGCTCGCTTATAAAAACTATTTAGAAGTAGTTAATTCATATATTCGTCCGAAAAAAGAAGTTATTCCTAATGCCTCATTGTACAAACAATTAGATCATGCATTATGGTCTGAAAAACCTAGGGCTGAATATAAAGTTCCTGTTCCTTTAAGATATAATATTTACTCAACTTTATCTTGGATTAGTTTAATATTTGGATTTCATAGTTTAAGAGATGAATTAATTCGAAGATTTGTGAGTATGCCTAGGTATGAAAAAAATTAATTTTTTCAGCGCATTTAAGATTATTGGTAATATATATATATATATATATATATATTACTTTTATAAATTAGAAATTAGTATCAACAAATTGACAGTTAATATATTTTAACCATGTATCATTGATTAATTATATAGTTTAACAATAAATGGTATAGATATTCTTTTCTTATATTTAATTGGGATATTTATAAAACTAAAAAATATAAACATACATAAACCCTGAAGAATACATATTTTCATTCTTAACAATAAAACAAACAAAATGAAGTAACTATAATTTATCTAAAATAGCTTCATTATTGTTTGAGTCACCATCACCACCATAATCAACTATATTGTCTATTGATGAGTCATCACTAGAATGTGAGACCAAAACTACAAAGAGTATAACAACTATTATAGCAACTATAAATATATAAACTTTATATTGAGAATTCCATATTCTAAAAATAATAATAAGTACATTAGTTTGATAAATATTAAATGTGCTAAAAAATATTTTAAATTAATTTTTATTATTACCCATTAATAAAGTTCAGCAACTGATTTTCAAATTTTTTTGGTTTTCTATAATATTTATCACTAGGATAGTCATCATCATTATTTGACAACAGTGGAGATTTATATGTTTTGTATAATTGTTTATTTGTAGCTTGACCAATAAATTGTGAACTTTGCAACTGCTGTTGTTCTTGCTCTTCTGGCTGATTTGGAATAACTTGTAGAAAAATTTTTTTCAATAATTAATTAAAATAAATATAAAAATCATATACTTTTAAATTTTTGTTAAAATGTTAACAAAAATTTGTCATATATATTTTAAATTATCTTAAGAATGAAACTTAGTTGGTAACTAAAAAACAAAAATTAAGTTAGTAACTAAAAAACTAAAAAACCCAGCACAGGGGGATCGCGGCACAGTGGTGACGTGGCATAGTAAGATCAAGTATAATGATATCTGACAGTGATTAAAATCACTATCATAAAAAACGCTTCAATGCAAATCTTTAGATAGTGTTTAATTTTAGAAAATTGGTCGATTACTCCAAAAGCTACATGATCTGCTATTTCCTTATTTATATCCTGATTAAGATAAAGTATATCGAATGAAACAGGGATATAAATATTATTTCTCGTAAAAAAATTGTATTGATCCATACACTTTTCAAAAAGTTATAGCATTATAAAGTTAAAGATGTAAAAAATAAAATCGAGAATTTTCACACAAAAATAGCTTTTGGTAACCATTTTCACAGTGAAGACAAAATGAAATCCGAAATTTTTTTTTTTTCCATAATAAATTATATTACATTAGCTTTAATTTAAGATATAAATAAAAGTTTCAGACCTTCCAGAACATTTTCAAAAGTTAATTTTTTGTGAAAAAGTTGTCATTTTAAATTCCTCTCTGTAGAGTAAAGGGTTAAATTTATGAAAAAAATATACCAATTGATAGGTAAAGACATCAAGCATCTATAAAAAAAAATTATATTGATTTGTTCATTTTTGAAAAAGTTATGACAGTTTTAGGTAAAAAAATTTTCGAAAATTAGCAATTTTTTTAAAATTGTAATCTTTTCGGAGGTTTCCCCATTTACAGGGAACGAAGAAAAAATTCTTCTTACTAATTTAAGAAATATTTATGATTGATTATTAGGTTACATATGAATAACCAATAAATGTATTTTAATTAAAAATATACGTGACAAGCAGAATGTATTATGTGTAATATATTAATATAAATAATAATTTAAACACCAAGAGATGCATAGAAATGATTTCTAAAATTTCAATTGAAATGATTTATTACAATTAAAAAAAAAAAAAAAAAAAATATAGTGACTTTAAAGAAATGTTGAGTTTTCTTCATAAATTTTTCTGTTAATAGTAATGGATTATTTTTAACAAATTAAAAATCAATAATCACTTGATAAAATTTTTCTTTTTTAATTAATTTTTTTATTTGTTTATAATTAGTATAATTCTCAAAGAAATTAATATAGAAAACATCCAATTTCAAACTTGATATCAGCGTAAACATTTGGTTTAGTAAAGTATATATTGGTCTATGATCATTAAAACTATTTAACTGATAAGAATTTAATGTGTAATTCAGTATAAAAATGAATTTTATACTTTTATTAATTTGGATATATTTAGTTTTTTTGAAGTAGCCATTTTACAGTAGCATATTTTTGAGATATTTGTCTAAATTTCTAAAATTAAAAATTTTTTTTTTTTCAAATATTTGGTGAATACAAGATTAAAATCATATTATTTTGATGTATTGGTCATTAAAATTGGTCAAAAGCTGAGAAAAATGAATGACAGGCACAAAAAAACAATATAGTAAAATATATGAATGTGAATAAGAAATTTTTTCATCTCAAAAAATAATTTAAAAAAAAATGCAAAAAAGTTATTTTGACAGGCGGCTTTTGAACTTAATACTTCTAGCGTATAAACATAGAGGCAAAATAAGTATAAATTTATATTTAATGCAAGTTAAATTCATGTAAATATTATAAAAATTGATGAACTCATTACTCTGGCAAACCCTAATAAGGTATTTTAAAATAAATAAAAAATAAAATAAAATTTGAATAGAAAAATAAAATGTTTTTTAACTATGACAGCCATTTGCACAAAGAAGATAGGTTAACATAATATTAATTTCTGTTTTAATTTATAGTACATAACTTAGCTTTAATTTAACATATGTTTAAAGGATGCACTATTTCCTGAAAATTAAAAACTTAAGATGATAAAGTTAAATTTTTATACAAAATTTGCTATTTTGAATACCTTTCTGGGTAAGTAAAAAGTCAGATTTAAAAAAAAATTTATATAAAATGAAAGGTAAATACTTATGGTTTCTATATAAAAAAGAAATTATTTTGATACGTTCATTTTTTAAAAAGTAATAACAGTTTTAAGTACAAAAATAACATCATGATAGAGGGTGATTTTTTATATAAATATTACATTTCTTGTTTAATTTCGAGGGTCGTTTGCACAAAGAAGATAGGTCGTCAGGACAAAAATTTGTGTTGGTCTATACATATTTCAAAAATTTATAGCAATTTAAAGTTGGAACTACAAAATCAAAAATTTTAACATAAAAATAGCATATTTTAACTACGGCAGCCATTTGTACGTAGAAGATAAGGAGTCCGGACAAATTTTTTCTTTTTAACTTATAGTATGTAACATATGCCTACAGAACGAAGTATTTTGGTATCATTTTCCAAAGTTTAGTTGAGAACATTGAATTTTGTGAATAAGTTTCTATTTTTAAACCCTCCCTGTGGGCAAGTACAAAGTCAGATATTCAATAAATTAATATCAAATTAAAGGGAAATACCTAAGGTTTCTATATAAAAAATAATTATTTTTAGTTCAAAGTAAAATGTCAAAATTTACCGATTTTAAAAATTGTAATTTTTTTAAGGGATTTCCTCCATTTACAGGGAATGAGGAAAATTTGTTCAATTATTGAAAGTAATGTCTTTGACTAAATACAATTTGTAATCTTTTGATGTATCGTTGAAAGAATTCGGTTTGGTGAAAGCTGATAAAAAGTGGTAAGACACAAAAAAAAAAAAAAAAAAAAAAAAAAAAAAAA